TCGGGTGAGCTTTAGGTTAATTGCGGAGGCTTCGGGCTAAGGTGTCAAGAGAGTTTGAGGCTTTAGGGCTGCCGGTCTTTCAAAGCCAAAATTCTGAGGTTTTAGGGTGTAAGGTCTTTAGGGTCTTAGGATTTAAGGCTTTAGATTTTGGCAGTTTCGGGTGAGCTTTAGGTTAATTGCGGCGGCGGAGGCTGAAAGTTGACATGTTTAGGGGTTCGGAGTTGGAAGGTTCAGAGTTTCAGGGGCTTTGGGTTGGAGGGTTTAGGGTTTAGGGTTCAAGGGGCTTCGGGTTGGAGGGTTTAGGGCGTTCGGGCTTGAGGGGTTTAAGGTTCTTGAAGTTCACGGCTTACGGGTTCGGTTCAGTGTTAGAGTCTGAGGGTCGAACTGTGGTGGTTTAAATTGTTGTTTGGAGCTTTGGGTCTAGAGCTTAGGCTACTTATGGGTTGATGCTTTTGGGTTTATGGTAGTCCAGATGTTGGAAATAGTGTAGGCTTAGGGATGTAAGAGTTTAGGGCTTCACAGGTTCTGCAACGACAAGCTTGAGGATAAAACCCAACGGAAGCGTTCGCGATGCAAATGCGCTCTCGCAGGAATAGACACATGATCTAGCCTCGCCAGCTGCTAGTTGCTCCGGACATCCAACGGGCCGGACACACCCAGAAATCGGGCTCACACCCGCGACCCCCCGCCAACTACATGAGGTGCTGAAGAAGAAATGCTATGACGAAGTTGATCCTGCCAAACCAGTATCCGCCCCTCTGGTCTGCTTGAAGGCAGCACGAGACTCCTTAAAGGCACGAAGCCTTCTCCCTGCTCAAGTCTTAACAGTTATCAAGGAAGGAGTGTTGGGGTATAGGAATGTATACTTTTTTATCCACAAAAAGGGACATGCGTGCGAATTTAGGATTCGGTCCTCTGTATTCAACTGCAACATGCAAGAAAGGAGCCACCATCAGCACAGCAATCACTGACACGCCACCCAAGCCGCCACAGGCCTGGCAATCGTCGGGCTCGTCCACCAGGACACCCTAACCCTAAACCCCAAAATTTAAAGGCCGACAATCATCTGCATGTTAAGGAACTATAGGGGCCTTAATACTTAGGACAAGGTTTGGGCCATATTCTCGTTTGGTACTTCTTGAAGCCCAAAGAGTCATAGAACCCGAAACCCTAAACCCTAACCGACTGTTCTCCTTAAGTAAGACGGTTCGGAGCCCAATGGATCACGATCAAGTTGCCCTTTAAGTTCAGTGTTTAAGGACTCCTTATGAAAGTTTCTAGTCATTCCTTTGAGGGGATCCGCCTTTCAACGGATCCAAAGGGCTCCATCAAGGCTTACGCTGGTAACCGGCTTTGTAAATGAGGCAGCGGCAAAAACTAGTCATAACTACGCATGGCCCTAGACCCTAAACCCAAACCACTCATGGCCCGAGGTACGGTACTCATAACCGTGCTTCTAAGTCGGCTGATCCTCCCCGTGGGTCTTTTGGGTTGAGGGCTTTTAGGGTTTAGTGTTTTCGGGTTTGGGGCGTACGGTGCTAGAAATGCCTTATTAACGTGCCCCCTTTTCTGCAAGCTTCCGCGCATTCGACGAGGCAAATCAGACGATGGCTTGCCTTAAACCGTAATGTAGAAGCCTTAATAATTAGAATAGTGTTTTGGGGTATATTATACTACAATTATAATAAGGAACCACTAAAATACTATAGGCAATTATTAAGGCCCAATATGAACCCTTTAAAGATGTCCAGCCTTGGCGTAAGCAAGGAGGTCGTCTCGGAGTATGTGGCCGGTACGCCTATGAATTGGAGATATGAGCTTTGAGGGTTCTTAAACTGTCTGGTGCTTAGTAGGGAATGGGGGAATGGATCCCTGTGATAGTCCCTGAAGGTCCCTTATACTAGTCCCGATAACCCATTCCCCTATTTCCTGCTAAGCACCAGACAGTGAAGGGTGCTTGACATGATCTGCAAGGGTCCTTGAAGGGCTCTGTAAAGAAGGTTTTCTTAGGGCATCTTTTCCTTTGGGGCTGAGTTTCCTAGCCCAGAAAAGGCTAACCGACTGAATTACAGGAGGACAGAGGCCGGGGGCCCTTTATACTATATCTATAACCCGGATCCGCCCCCCCCCCCCAATTTAAATGATAGGGTTTAGGGTTTAGGGTTTAGGGTTAAAAAAAAGATAGGTAATTGTCGAGGCCCCTATAGTATCTTTTTCAGAACATTAACGCTGTGCGGCCTTTTCGGAGAGTGGGGACGTGGGCAGGCAGAAAGTGCAATCCGAAACTCAATCCGCCCGCCCCAATCGCCGACATGGAGGATCTTCAGAAAAAAGGGCTCAGGGTGGTGTTGCTCTTGGGTTTAGAGTTCACGGGCTTTGGAGGTTAGGTTTAGGGTTTAGGGTTTTGAGTCTTGGGTTTGGGGTTTTAGGTTTTGGGGATGAAAACCCTGTAGTAGCATCCCGATAAGGGCCCCAGAAACATGTAGACCCCCAAATACCATCGTCGCCTGACGACAGGAAAGAGGCATTGATCCGCAACTGTAAGCCCAACATCGCACTCACCACACGGGCATGCACAGCAGCACCCGACATCCAACAAAAATCGAAACCTCGCAAACTCCAAGCCCCCCCAGCTCGAAGCCCAAACCCTGAACCCTAGACCCTAAACCCTAGACCTTAAACCCTGAATCCTAAACCTTCAACCCCAAACCCTGAGCCCCAAGCCCCCAAACCGTAAACCTTACCCCCAAAACCCTGAAGCCCAAAGCCCTAAACCACATAAACCCCTAAAACCCTGAAGCCCTTAAGCCCCAAAGCGCTTCAGCCCTAAAGCCCTGAAGCCCTAAACCCTAAACCCCATAAACCCCTAAAGCCCGAGACCCTAAACCCCAAAGCCCAAAGCCCAAAGCCCTAAACTCTAAACCCTGTAGACCCTAAACCCTAAACCCCATAAACCCCTAAAGCCCTAAACCCTAAACCCTAAACCCTATAAACCCTAAACCCTAAACCCTCGGCCTCGTCTCTTGGGCACTCTGCTCCCGGGATGGGGCCGCAGGGGTCGGCTTGGAGTCTGCCGACGGCTGCGGCTCGGCCGGGGCCTCAAAGAGCTTTAGGGGTGGAAGGTTTAGGGTTTAGGGTGTAAGGCTTCGGGGTTTCGGGTTTAGGGTTTAAAGTTTAGGGTGGAAGGTTTAGGGTTCAGGGTGTAGGTTTCGGGTTTAGGGTTTAAACTTTAGCGTGGAGGTTTAGGGTTAAGGTTTAGGGTTTAGGGTGTAAGGCTTCGGGTTCAGGGTTTAGGGTTTCGGGTTTAGGGCTTGAGGTTTAGGGTTTAAGATTTAGGGTTTAGGGTGTAAGGTTTCGGGGTTAGGGTTTAAAGTTTAGGGTTTCGGGTTTAGGGCTTGAGGTTTAGGGTTTAAGGTTTAGGGTTTAAGGTTCCAGATTTCAGGATAGGTTTAGGGATGGGGTTGAAAAGAACTGCTTGAAAGATTGCAGCAAGGGTTCCAGGAACGGCTCTACAAAGGTTTCAGGGTTGCTTCAAAAGGTTACAACGTAGTGTTTCCCAACAGGGTTCTAAACCTAGTTAATTAGGGCTTGTCCCTATAAGGCTTCCATGCGGGTCGATTTTGGATGGCTGAGATACTAAGCTAAAGCTTAGTGTTACCTGGGTTTGGGGTTTAGTTTAGGGTTTAGGGTTTCGCCGTACTTGAATGCCTTTTTTGGACCGGTTCCTCAAAAAAACAATTATGAAATACAACTTCATACTTTTTCTCCCTGGCTACTTCAAAGTCTAGTGAATCGCTTGGAAAGCTCCGGGCATTGAGTTGAGGGCTTACGGCTGCGATATCCTACAAGCGTTGCGGTTTCAGGGAGAAGACGGGTGGGCGGGGGTTTAGGGTTCAGGGTTTAGGGTTTAGTGTGGGCTGGGGTGTCGGGCTTGGAGGTTCAACAACCCCGCAGGCCCTGCAGTTGATGGTGGGCCCTGAAGAATGCACCCGCAATGTTCAGAAACGCATGTTTGAACAGATTAGGGCTTAGGGCCTTAAGGTTTAGGGTCTGGGGTCTTAACCCTTAGGCCCGGGGACACGATTATGGGACCCCATAGTACCCCTTAAAGGGAGGTGGATGGATTGGGGACGTGGCCGAAGCTGGCCTGGTCATGCTTCTCTTAGGAGATCCAATCCATGAACCAGAATTGTGAAAGGGATCCGCATGTCCATAGGTTTATGAATCAAGATCTACATTGCCCTTCTGCAAGGCCTCCTGTGTTGAAGACCCGGTCCGTGCAGGGGATAAGCGCAGTTGAAGCGAAGGCTCAGCACACAGCTCCTGGTAAGTGCCTGTTGCGGGATGTAACGTGTAGAGTTTAGGGCTTGATGCCTCCGGAATTTTTTGCAAGTAGTTCCCAACGTTTTGGTTTTATGAAGCGACTGCAATGCAGTCGAAGCTACAAGCAGAAAGGTCTGGAAACCGCCAGCCTGTCACTGTTGGCGAAGGATGCGAGTGTCTGGAGTGACGGCTTACTTGGAGGATCATGGGACTTAGAAAGTAAGGTTACAAGTACCTTCATGGGAGTTATAATTAATTATAGCTATAGTTACCTTATTTATGGCCCTAATTACTAAGTCCCATGATCCTTTAAGTACCTGTGCAACACAGCCGACCCTAGCAACCAGCGCACCTAAGAATTCTGTTGATCCATCCTTTCGCAGCATGAGGATCCGGGTCACCGCGGGGTGCGACCAATACTGAATCCTTGGCGGTCTTCAGAAATCTTGACAAGATCTACGGGTCACAAGATTTAGGCTCGGACCTCAAGGTTTTGGAGTTTTGGGCTGGGTTTCTGGGTTTAAAGTGTGGGATTTGTTTTCAGTGTGCGCGGTGGGTGCGCTTTTTTAGGCACGGGGGCACCCACTTATCGCGCGCTTGCGTCAGCACGTAGTCCCGCCCCAACCACCCCGACTATTCTCAACCCCTCGAGGGGGCTTTCCTGCTCTTTGCTTTGCCTTCGCAATTCTACATACGACCATCGCATTTCATGGATTGCTGTCGGGTAGTGGGTCCTCGCGGCCTGTGCCGGCCGCTCGACGAGAAGTGAGGTTTCCAACAAACAGCCCGCCCCTCGCAAGTCACAGAGCAAAGGGCCCGGAAGGCAAGTGCCGGACATCTCCTCGCCTGGAGTTGGTGGCGGAAACCCGGCCAAGTTGCTACGTAGGACCGGCCCCGGGTCCTTGGAAATCTGCCAACGAGACCCCAAAACTCAGAGAGGTCAACTAGCGGGGCATCGTCACCACAGTCCTCGTCTACCGGTCGGAGCCTCGAGCGCCCATGCAAATGGTCAGCGGAGCTCTTGGCAGGAGGGCAGGGCAGTTCAGGGTGTAGGGCTTAGGGGGTTTAGGGTTTAGGGTTTAGGGTGTAGGGTGTATAGGGTGTAGGGTTTAGGGGGTTTAGGGTTTAGGGATGCTTGCTGGATGCTTCGTCGGCTCGAGACGGTGGGGGTTAGCTTATCCAAGGTCCCAGTGCCGCACCACAGCCTAACATAATTAGAAGAGGGTTTCGTGGTATACCTCTGGATTATAATAAGGGACCCGCAGGAACAATTATGCTGATTATTCAGGCATGTTTGCTAGGAGCGATCGGAACGCAGCTAAACCTATAGGCATTCCTCTTTTGGAGTTTTCGCGTTTAGGGTTTCCGACGAAACTTCCCCACGAATTTTCGCCGGCGAGAAGCTGATGGGTTACCAGGATGCGCGTGCGCCCATCGAGGGCCCCGCAGATAGCCTGTCCGGATCAGATTCTGCGGCATACTGGTGCGAATGGAGGTGTATAGGGCTTAGGGTTAAAGCCCGTTCAGTGTTTTTTTGGGGGGTTTTAGGGTTTAGGGTTTCGGGGTTTTGCGGCTTAGGGACTCCTTGGGCGCTGGGTCCGTTCCATGGAGCCTTCTCCCAGACATGCTGGCCGACGTGGGCATCCAAGGCAGACAGCACGTCGTCGAGGAGCACCACCTGATATGGGTAGATATCTAAATTGGGATCCGTTTTTAGGGTCCTGTTTATGAGGGTGCTGTACTATTCTGGGGACGTATAGTATCCGTATAGAAGCCCTATAGTTGAAACCCTTATAGATCCCTTTTAAGGAACCCGTTTAAGGGACCCTGATTTAGCGAACTGGAGAAGGGTTCAGGGTTTAGGGTGTCGGGCTTGAGGTTTAAGGTTCCAGGTTTAGGGTTTAAGGTTGAGGGATTTAAGTAACAGTAAGGGCTTTTGGGCTTAGGGTTCAGGGCTTCGGGTTTCAGGGTTCAGGGCTTAGGACTTAAAACTTTAAGAGTTTTGGATTCACGGCTTAGGGTACCCTAAACCCTAAACCCTAAACCTGAAACCCTAAACCTTAAACCCTCAACCCTAAGCCTCGGCACCGCTGTAGACAGCCCTCGCCAGGGAGACGCGCTGCTTCTGCCCTCCGCTCAGCTGCACCCCCTCCTCCGACAAGCTCGGCTCTTCGGCTTTGGGTTTAAGGTTCAGGGTTTAGGGTTTAGGGTGTAGGGTGTAGGGTGTAGGGTGTAGGGTTTAGGGTTCAGGGCTTAGGGCTTAGGGTGTAGGGTTTAGGGTTTAGGGTTTAGGGCTTTGGTTGGGTCTCAGGGCTTGGGGGCTGGGCTTGGGGCTCGGCGTTGAGGGCAAAGGGCTTGAGGCTCAGAGGTCAGGGTATGGGATTTAGGGTTTTGCTTCAGAGAGATGAACCCGAAAACCCTAAACCCTAAACCCCAAATCTTAAGCCCTAAACCCCCAACCCTAAACCGGGTTTGGGTCTAGTCGCACGGTCTATGAAGCTCCCGACTAAGGTTTAAGTCTCATAGAAGATTGAATGGAACCCGAAAACCTCAGGCCAGTCTAGGGTTTAGGGTTTAGGGTTTAGGGTTTAGGGTCTACCTAGACCTACCGCCATTTCACTGCTGTGCCAAATGGCGGAAAAGGAGACTGTGGCTTTATCTCGATAGCCCAGGCTCTGCAGGCCAAGTCAGGTGTCAGGCATAAGGCGGACGACTTTGAACCGAAAGGCCGACTTCAGGCCCAGCTCCGTGTCTTGGCTTCCACTGAGATGAAGAGGAACAAACTCATGTACGACCTTGACGAAGGCAGCTCGTTGGCTGAGGCGACCCTCCAAGCAGGCACGTACGCCGAAGCGCACTCACTGCAGGCACTCTGTAATGCCTCGCACCTAGATCTTAGGATTTGGAGCTACGATAACAAGCTTAAGCAGTGGAATTTTTTCCAGCTTGCGCCTAGTAAGTCTGTCCCAGGTAAGTCCCCCACGGCCATCTACCTCAAGCTAGAAGCCAACCATTACGAATGGCTGAAGCCTATTGCGGAGATACCAAGCAATGTCGCCGAAACTTGGCTTAGAACAGCGAAATCCAAGCCTCCTACCTTGAGCGGAGGAGGGAAGTCACAGCACGACAAGGACGCTCTCGCTGTGCTGGGCTTGGAGGCTAGTGACACGGCTAGTGCCTCCAGCAGACACGCGCTGTCGGTCCTAGGCCTTAAATCTGTCAAGAGCAAGGCTAAAACTGCTGCGGCCTCCTCCAGGCCCAAAGGCTCCGTCAACAGATCGGCCCGCTCGGTCCTCGGCCTCAAGTCCTGCGCTGCCTCAGCTGCCAGCTCGGCGGACAACGGACTCGAGGACATGCCTGACACCATGAAGGTTTTCTCCCAAGGTGACCACCTCAAGTGCTCTTGCGGGTGGTCACCACCTGCGGGCAAGCCAAACTTCCAGCGGAAGGAAGCTCAAAAACACTGGAGGAGGTGCCAGGGCTGTGATGCTCCGCTGCGGCCTCCTGACAAAGCCGCTCATGATGAAAGCAAGTGGATTCAGAGCGCGGCCAAAGTCGCACGAGACAAGAACGATGCTGCCTACAAAGAGTGGAAGCGCGAACAGTCTAGGATGCATCCCGAACTAAAGACTAGTTTCTGCTCTCCAAACTTGTCTGTACCTTTCTTCAGTGCTAAGGAAGGACGCAGATTTCCCTGCACAAGGTGTGGTACAGTCCGCAACTACAACCAGCTACGCAGGTTTCCGTGCAAGAAGAGACCCAAGCGAGTCTCGATCCGGCAATTTCAAGT